GGCGGAGTGGTGACTTACTTTCCTTGCGCACACACCAGGTTGAAATAGGGGTCTCTAGGTCGTTAGCTAAACTGACCTTTTCCGGACTCCCTCTGCGGACCTTGAACCCCCAAGCGAGGTGGTCGCCGTGATAGTCGTTTCAAGTCCGAAGCGCGTGAATCAGTGAAGGCAAGACTGACTCTTCTTGCATTTGCAGTGAAGCTTCTAGCATGAGACTATCGGGAAGGAGTCATGCGACCCTTCAAGGCACCACACGAGCTTCTGCAGATGCACTGATCATCTTCGGTCGGGAGTTTGTCAAGGCATGGGGCCCTTGCAACGCACTGAGGCATTCCTGATCAGAGCCCTGGGTCCGGCTACGCTCATGCTGGCAGTCCTCCGATAGTGGCGTGAACCACTGGAATGTGCTTCGACAGCTCTGCCTGCATTGGAAGAATGTCCGCTTTAGCTCCAACCCCAGGGCCACAGCGCATGAGATGTCCGCTCTTTCGTCTCGATGGGTGCTGTTCCCATGAGCTCAAACATTAAAACTTGATTGGAGGCTCTTCCAACCGAGCCTCAGGCAACTGGCAGCTCTGTCAAGTACATGCGATAGGCCCATGACGGCCCATGCCATGCGGGCTGTGCCTGCAGTTGTCTGAGGCTGTCTGTACATCCGCACTCGCTGTGTCAGCTGGACAGCGTTTTGCTGGCAGTGCGTCAGCGGCTTAACAAGCCGGTCTGCATCCTGGCACTAAGCACCCAACACAACTTGTAGAGGAGCAAAGATACTTTCCTTATACACTTCTTTGCCTTTAAGGAACATGTTTTGGCAACCGCCAAGAATGTCAGGATGCCAGCGACTCAACGTCTCTAAAGTCTATACAGCATTATACAGATCTACTCAGCCCTACTCCAGCGATGGTAGGTCTACAAGTGGAAGGTGGCGGTGGAAATGTTTTGGGCGGTCCAACCGCGGCTGCTCAGAACTCTTCCACCTCCAAACTGCAGTCACCATACTCGCCTGCCCGGGTCCACTCTTCACTGCAGCAGAGAGCCCAATGAAACTCACTAGCTCAGAGGTCTTAGCTGCATCATTGCAGGTGATTGCTCTTTTGGTGGCTCTGCTCTCTCTCTGCCCTCGTCTCTCTGCCTTTCGAATAGCTCCGTCCCTTTCCTCGTCTGCCACCACGGCGCTTGGGAGGAGCGGCCTCAGAATCTCAGAATCCACGGCGAAACAACAAGCGTGCTAGACATGCTGTCTTTCAAGGAATTTCTGTGGCAAAAAAAGGGCACTAGCGATGGCCTGAAAACAACAAAAACGTGGTGCTTCTCTCACTCCACGCTGGGCCTTGGCATCATCTACGCCGGGAGGAGTTCGAGATTCAGGCGCCATGTCAATGAAATCATCTGACGTCAGCACGAGACTTGTTGCAAGTCTCAAGCTCATGACACAACACGTGAAAGCAGGCGGAGGTTGGACAAAGTATTCTTGGCTGCTGCTGCGGATTTGATGTTGCTCACTGGCCTGACGATGGCAATGTCGCAACTTGAAAGGGCTGGAGCCCTTTCAAGAGCCCGAAGGAGCCAAAAGTAGTACCTGGGCCATTGGGGGCAACAGCACGTGCAAGCCTTTGGGGCGTCAGTCCGGGCCTCCAAAAACCCTGACATGACTTTTCAAGGGGGTCCAAATCTTCCAAACTTTTTTCGGTTTTTGGTTGAGGGAAAAGGAAGGGAAGTGGATGTTTCTGTTTTGGGGTTTTGCATAGGAAAACAAAGGCGGTTTTGCATCGTTCCATGTCCAAGCTGACACTCTTACTTTGCCCAGGTCAAAAAATAGTTTCTCGCCCAATACCCCAATCGAGTTCTGCAGGTAAACCTTTAATTGGCTTTCCTGCATACCCTCTTGGTTGCTATTTCTACGGTTGAATGGAAAGCCCTCCTACTTCACATTTTAGCGTTTCCCAATGCGGTGACTGCCAATGGGGTGAGGCGGAAGCGCTGCGGGGTCCGCAACACGTTGAGGGAGTCATTATTTGGCAATATGTCTACTTTTCAATCAGCAGGAAGGCGGTCCCTTTGAAGACTGCTGATTGCTTGGGTTTTGTCACCCTGGAATTCTCATCCGTGTTGCGTGGCCTTCTCTTCACCGAGGTGAGGAAGGAGGTCAAGCAGAAAGCGCCATAGGTAGAGGTTGGTGGCAAAGGCCTCCTCTTCGTACCCGCGACTCTGGTGAGCCCTGTCTCTCCCCATTGCTCACTGGAAGCGCCTCCGCCGGAAATTCAAGGTTGATCCCCCTATGGCAGACCAATTTTAGTAGGAGCCTTTTTCCTCGGGCCTCGGGCGAGGTTTGCTGTCATGAACTGAAGCCGTTGAGGATGGCACTGTCGACGGCTTCCAAGACGTCCTCCTTAAACACCACGGCGGTTTGTTGCCGGTCACGGCAAAGGCTCATGGTTCTATTGATACACAAGGCCAACTCCAGCGCTCTGCCCATTGGAGATTGCTGCGGGTACCCAAACGGTGAGTGGCTCCAATGTCCGTTGACTTAGCGACGCTCCGCGGGCTTCTTTGGGAGTGGGCACTCCAAGGACACCCGGCGCGACTCTCTGTGCGCTTGGGCACTCCAGGACATACTCCAGGAGCTCCGGCCGGGTTTAGGGTTTAGGGTTTAGGGTTTAGAGTTTAGGGTTTAGGGTTCACAGGCGCAGGAGACCGGGCTGGACACCCGGCGAGGAGGCGAGGAGGCGAGGAGCATGGTTGACTCAAAATCGGCCGACCCCACTGCGAGGGTGGGGAACAAGGGAACAAGCGAAACAACCCAAAAAGCTCAACAACTACCCCCAAAACAAAAAGAATCCCCACCCTCCCAAGATCTTGTCTAAGCACAGACCATGGCTATGTGGCCTGCGATTTGCTACCAGGGAGTGTGGGACTTCTGCTTGCAAAGTCCAAGACACCAGACAAAATCCATAACCCACTTCATTGTCAGCTCTTTTCTGCATGGTGCAGAAGTGTTGGACGAAATGCTGCCCAGGGACTGGCAAGCGCAAGTTGTTGCTGCAAGGCCAGTGTAAGCATCTTGTTCTGCTGCTGCTGCTCCAAGATCTCCTGCGTCTGCTGCACGTCTAGGTGGAGCATGACTAAATACAACATCTCTAGACTCTAAACGTGCATATTCTGCACAAGCACACAGACACTTGCACATACTCAAAAAACAACGAAGACAGACATGCATACATTACATACATGCATTCATACATGCATGCATGCATGCATATATGCATACATGCATACACGCATACATGCATACACGCATACATGCATACATGCATACATGCATACATGCATACAAGCATACATGCATACATGCATACATGCATACATTCATACATGCATACATGCATACATGCATACATGCATACACGCAGACATACATATGCACATACACATGCACAGATACAGACACACATACAGGCGCACACACACACATACCCACGCACACACGCACACACGTGTACCCGGTATACAAGCACAAGAAGCTCGATGACACGTTTTTGCAACAGCCTCACACCAATGAGCAACAATAGCAAGACACGGATTCGGCTCCTGCTGCTGCTGCTGAAGCTGCTGCTGCTGAAACTGAAGCTGTTGCTGCAACTGCCTTGGTTCAACGTTCACGGTCCTACAGCCGCTATTAGGCCATCAGGCTGAAGAACGCAGCATATCAAGTGAAGTACACTTGTCCAAGCCACTGCTGATGAAGCTGATGCTGCTGATGTTGCAATTGCTGCTGCTGCTGCTGCAGCACGATTTGTTGCATCTGCGGTTTCTTGGCTTGAACAGGCTTCGCCTGCGGGGGCGCAGTTTGCTTTTGACCGTGTTGCACAGCCTTGGGTTCCGATCGTCGCGACTCCTCCTGGCAAGCACAAGATCTTGGCAGAAAATCCGCTGCTGGACATGGCGGACCATGACTTCGCCAGGAAAGAGAGAGAGAGAGAGGGAGGCAGACAGGCATGGAAAGATTCATGGGAAAGATTACCAGGAGGGAGTGGTAAGAGTACAAAGGAGAGTTCACAACTCACTTTGGGTGCTCCTGTGTCCCCTAGCAGATTCTAGCACTTGCAAATAAAGGAGAAAGAAGAGGAGGCTGGAATCGCAATGCGAGAAAGAAACTCCCCCCCTCCCCCCAGAAGCTCCGGAGTCGGACTTGGCGGCGACGGCGGTTGGGGCAAGCTCGTGGTGTCCAAGGGCCGAATCTCCTAAGGGCAACATTCCAGCGAACAGGGACAACAAATTGAACAGGCACATCATTACATGATAACTATTACTACTATTACTCTTATGGTTATCACAATTATTTTTACTATTAGTATGGTTATTATGATTCTTATTACAATTACTACGATTTAAAAATGAAACCATTGTTCTTTTTTATTAGCGGTGTTTTCTGTAGCTAGATCTGCAAGAGCGGCCTCTGCAGAATGTGCGAAGTTGCACTTCGATCCAAGGGCACCTGAGGAGGTTCCAGCGGCAACCCCCGTCGTTCAGGGTTTAGGGTTTAGGGTTTAGGGTGTAGGGTTTAGGGTTTAGGGTTTAGGGTTTAGGGTTTAGGGTTTAGGGTTTAGGGTTTAGGGTTTAGGGTTTAGGGTTTAGGGTTTAGGGTTAGGGTTTCGGGGTTTAGGGTTAGGGTTTAGGGTTTAGGGTTTAGGGTTTAAGGGTTTAGGGTTAGGGTTGGTTTAGGGTTTAGGGTTTAGGGTTTAGGGTTAGGGTTTAGGGTTAGGTTTAGGGTTTAGGGTTTAGGGTTTAGGGTTTAGGGTTTTGGTTTAGGGTTTAGGGTTTAGGGTTTAGGGTTTAGGGTTTAGGGTTTAGGGTTTAGGGTTTATTATTAGGGTTTAGGGTTCAGGGTTTAGGGTGTAGGGTGTAGGGTTTAGGGTTCAGGGTTCAGGGTTCAGGGTTCAGGTTTAGGGTTTAGGGTTTGGGGTTTAGGATTTAGGGTCGTTTGAGGGTCTAAGGAAAGCTTAGACGTCCAAGGCACAGTGCCCCATCTGTGAGAACCGGCAAAGCTTCGTCTTGTGAAAAGTGCCTCGTTCAGAACAGGCTTTTTTGTCGTTATGATTATGATTATGAGTATGATTATGCATTATGATTATTGATGATTTTGTTTGTGATTATGATTATTATGATTCTTGATGATTTTGTTTGTTATTATGAATTGAACGGCTTCGCGCGCATCCGCACTGCAGAGACGTGTGCCACCAAGATGCTAGTCGCTCGAAGCTCGTCCTTGCTGTGCGCATACGTGCATTTTGAGTCATCGCAGGTGCCTGTCCAATCAGCAATCTTTCAGCATGAGCCTTCAAGCAAGTTTTGCAGTTGTACTCGTTCTGGAAGCAGCCCTGCCTGTCTGAATAAGTGTTTTGCACAGCTTTGTGCATGTCAAGTCTGGCAAGGAGCGCAGTTCCGTCTTCTCGTGTGCAAACCTGAGCAAGCAAGTCTTCGACTCTCTACAGCGACTCATGAACAGAATGGTAAGCGCTGCCGAAGCACGGGCATTGGACACCCTTCATGCACATACCCACAAGGTTGAATTTACACCTCAGTTGCCCGGTCGAAAGCCGCAGTGCGTGGGCTGACTTTCCTTTTGCCATGTGCTCTTGAACACCCAGAAGAAACTGACCATGGATCAGGGGACATCTTGGTCTTTGAGAACTGCCATGTCCGCGATCGCGGCTCCGACTCGTCTTGGGCCGGGTTCATCGTCATCTGAGACATGCAAAGTTCTTTTCTGTCCTTGGCTGCAAAGACCCTGACATCATCGGATAGACCCGCAACTTTCGAAACAACTCCTGCGTGTGTGAACTACTGGATAACTATCGCTATCTACCGTAGAGCTTTCTAACGTCCAGTGAAGCTCCTCTAGGTAACTTTGCCCATATCATCTGTCTTTCTTCCCGCCTCATTGAACTTTAGTTCGTGCTGCACTTCACTGATTCCAAGTTAAGTTCATACTGCGCTACAGCTACAGCTACAAAGGGGTCTCTTGCCACAAATGGTGTGTGCTTTCCATGTAGTTCTTCTGTTCTGTATCTTCTGTTGCATACAGAAATATGAGTACGTGCTCACAAAGTTCAAAACTTGCACGATGCGGCACTGGAGAACAAAAGGTCACATATCCTGTTTCCCTTCAGATCTCCACTTGCTTTCACAGGAACCAACAAGTGCGGACTGCTGAAACGCCAAACCCTGGGGGTTTGCTCGCTTCTCTTCACTTCCTTTTGCAAGTTTGTGTCGAGCACGAAAACACTGAGTAAGTCCTCCTCCCCCTCCCCCTCCCATGATAACATCTTCAGCTCGCAGCTTTCCGCTTTAATGTATTCTGGAGGGCGAAAAGTGTGTCCTTTCCATCCTCCCCTTTCCCTCCCCCCTTCCACCCCCCTTTCCACGCCCCCCTGCCTGCCACCGTTCCACCCCCGCCCCCGCCCTTATCACGCAATCTTATCTCTGAGCTTCGCTGTTCGGTTTATATCTTCCCTCGCAACCCCACCCCCACCTCTCCACCAAGACTTCTGGGGCGAGGCGAATCGCGTAGCAATGAGCAGCGATTCCAGCAGTTGCGCATAGACATCAGAGCTGCCAAGGCTCCAAAGTATCCGGGTTCCAGCTCTCCAGCTCGTTGGAAAACAGATCTGGAAAAGGGAAAACAGCGCTGGAAGCCCAGGTTTCTTTGACAAGATGCAAATTCAACTCTTGCCCATGCAAAACACGCCTGAGCCAGAGAAGCGGCGGAAATCGACAAGCGAACTAAACCACGCAACACAGCTCGACCTTGTTCCTTATTCCTGAGGCTCCTTGAGGTCTCCGCAACGCTCGATGTTTTTGTCCCTCCTTTCCCTGCGTCTGCGCTGAGCTTCTGAGCCCGGTGATTTGCCCCCAATCAACAGGGTCCCCATGCGCCCACGCCCGAATCGCCAGCGATGACCTGCAAGCACCATCAATCCCCCATCCCCGGCTGCATCAGCGAGGTCGAGAGCCGAATGCAGAGAAATGTCCGGCGCAGCCAGAAAGAGTCTCAAAGTCTCAACGTCATGTTGCCAGATGCACCAGATCGTTCATAATAAGTATCTACGAACCCTAAACCCTAAACCCTAAGCTTTACCCTAAACCCTAAACCCTAAACCCTAAACCCTAAACCCTAAACCTTAGTAAACCCCCAAACCCCAACACCCATCTACCACGACGCCACGGGCCTGGCATCTTTGCCACACAGCGCCCGGAGGCTCTGGAGGAGGTCCGGGCTCAGCGGCTGCAGCACTGAGAGGCCCGAGAAGGCAAGGTGGTAGCCTCGCCGGAAAAGCGGTCAGGAGGCAATTTAGGGTTTAGGGCTTAGTGTTTAGGGTTTAGGGTTTAGGGTTTGGGGTTTAGGGTTTAGGGTTTAGGGTTTGGGGTCCCAGGGTTTAGGGTTTAGGGTTTAGGAAGCCAATGCGAAACTATTCGTCCATGTTGCATGCACAACAGACGCAGCCGGTGGCCGAAACAATTCATCTCCAACCCCCGATGCCAAGCTTGACGAAGCCACGGTGTAGGAAGTGTCTGCTGCTCCGACGGCCCTCGCCCTTGTGCATGGAGAAAGATGTGTACTGGCCGTCCGAGACCTGCAGAGAAAGAGCTTCACAGGCTCAAAAGCAGCTCTCATCATTCCATGCACGGCATGTAGGCACACATGAACCTTTCAAGACGACATGTGACGATTTCATGACTTCCGCCCAAGCCACAACGGGATGACCCACATGCGCAAGGTGACTGCGTATCTGGTGTCGTCCTTGCACTACGGCGCCAGGACCACAACACTGTGATCGGACACACGTAATATAACAACATACTAACATAAACATAGAATATACCATATAGAATCCTAATCCTAAAAAACAAAACAAGATCTTAATATAAGAGTAAATCGAGGGTCGGCCCGTGACGATACGGATCGCCAGAAGACTGTACGAAATGCTGCGTCCAGCGTGAGCAAGAAGCTTTGTCAAAGACACACTGGGCTTCCCTCTTCCACCTGCAACTGAAAGTGTCTGCAGGCCCCAGTGCAAGCTCGCCCGAATCTCTGTCAGCGACAATGGCCACCAGCCATGAGACAGGACAACGTAGTCGCCTCCATGAGCATCTGTGCCAAAGTTTGTGCTAACATCTGTGCAAACATCTGTGCGAAATCTTGGAAGGCAAGTCTCGGTCCATCTGGCCCGTGCGAAGCTTCAGCTGCAAGGCATAGTACTTGGCATAGGTCTTTGCAACACACACGAGTCCCGAACTCGGAACATCCAGTCGATGCAGGAATCCAAACTGGAAGGAGGCATCTTGCAGAATCGGCCTTAACAGGGTGCGCGTGCGTGTTCGCGCGCGTGCGTGTGCGTGTGCGGGTGCGCGTGCGCGTGCGCGTGGGCGTGTGCGTGTGCGTGTGGGTGTGCGTGTGCGTGTACGCGTGTGGGTGCGTGTGTGCGCGTGTGGGTGCGTATGTGCGCGTGTGGGTGCGTGTGTGCGCGCACACACACGTGCGCCGTGTGTGTGTGTGTGTGTGTGTGTGTGTGTGTGCGTGTGCGTGTGCGTGTGCGTGTGCGTGTGCGTGCGTGCGTGCGTGCGTGCGTGCGTGCGTGCGTGCGTGCGTGCGTGCGTGCGTGCGTGGGTGTGTGTGTGTGTGTGTGTGTGTGTGTGTGTGTGTGTGTGTGTGTGTGTGTGTGTGTGTGTGTGTGTGTGTGTGTGTGTGTGTGTCTCTGTGTCTCTGTGTCTCTGTGTGTGTGTGTGTGTGTGTGTGTGTGGTCTGTGTGTGTGTGTGTGTGTGTGTGTGTGTGTGTGTGTGTGTGTGTGTGTGTGTGTGTGTGTGTGTGTGTGTGTGTGTGTGTGTGTGTGTGTGTGTGTGGTGTGTGTGTGTGGGGTGGTGTGTGTGTGTGTGTGTGTGTGTGTGTGTGTGTGTGTGTGTGTGTGTGTGTGTGTGTGTGTGTGTGTGTGTGTGTGTGTGTGTGTGTGTGTGTGTGTGTGTGTGTGTGTGTGTGTGTGTGTGTGTGTGTGTCTGTGTGTGTGTCCCAAAACCGCTCTGTCAGAGGCCACTCTACAGTGGCTAGGCAGTGCTCCAGTGCCCTGTGTCGCGCAACGTGCACTGCGCGGCCAAGGCTCTGCGAGCCGAAGCGCTCCTGGAGCCACGTCGAAAGCTGCCTGGCCAGGGCCCACAAGCTGTCGGGTTTCGGGTTTCAGGGCTTGGCAGCTCTGCTCCCCGCAGCATGTCCCAATCATGTTTCCCATCTTTCGTCCTTCCTTTGAGTCTTACAGCTGGCCCTATCTGCCATGCTGCCCAGTCGTTGACAGACCTCTCAGGTTTTGTAAGATGTGCTGAAGGTCATAGCCCAGCAGCGCCGGTTTCGTTCTGAGAAGGCGCACAGATTGCGACGCCGTGCACAAACTGGAGGGGCTTACTCGAGACTCTCGGACCCTAAGAGGTAATCCCGACACCTTCTTGCTTTCGTCGCCAGGTTTTGAGGTTTGGAGGGTCTCTGGATGCAACTGAGCGTTTGTGCGGGAACTTTGAGAGCCCCTAGTTACCAGTTCGTAACACAAGCTGCTGCGGGCCAAAGACGCGCATCCCAGGAAGAGAGCGGAGAGCGCTCAGCGCAGGAGCGCCCAGAGACATCAACTCACCGAGGAGGTGATTTGTAAACCGAAACGACCCGCTAGAGCTCCCGCAGAACCGGGCACGCAACGCGATGGAAAGCAACAGCAGGCATCAGCAAGGAATTTCGCTACTCGCTTGCAAGCCTGAAATCCCAGCCGTTCGACCTCCCTTTTCAACACCATGCCACCGCCCCCATCCCATGCCATCCAACACTAAGCAGGAACCCAAGCTCGCACTCGCACCGAGATGGACAGTCACAGAGTGCGAGCGCGCACGCGCGCGCGCGAGAGAGAGAGAGGAGAGAGAGAGAGAGACACAGAAACAAGAAGTGCGGACAGAAGGCTGTCCGGCAGGCTCCATCATCTTTCGTCTTTGTTCGGTCCGGTTTCTTGCAGAGTCTGAGCCTTGACTTACTTGTTTTGGGGTCTTGGCTCGTGTCGTGTGCGCAACATTCGTCCCAGGCTTGTCAACAACACCAACTTCTTCGAGGAAGCGAAGACCACGTAGCATGTGCATGGATCGAGCACTTGAGTACAGATATTGCAAGTTTGAAGATCTGAAGCATTTGCCATCATACTTATAGATATAATATACATATATATATATATATATGTTTATATATATATATATATGAGCCTGAGACCTTTCGGGTTCTTCTGGCTTAGTTCTTACAAAGCAATTTTGAAAAAAAATGCTTGAATACATACGATGGCTAGTATGTATATACATATATATATATAATAGCATGCTCATGCGTTGACTAGTCTGTTAGCTTGCAGTTTCATCAATGAGTTTAAAGCTTAGGGTCTCAGGTTTAGAGTTTAAAGTTCAAGGTTTAAGGATGAGGGTTTAGGGTTTAGGCTTGAAGGTTTAAGGTTTACCGATCACTACAAGCTGTTGGCATTCGTACTGCCAAGCTATGCCTGGCATAGCCCAAAGCCAGAAGGGCAAAACACAGCAAAGCTAATGACATCGGCAGCCCGAGTCAGTGCCTTGATTAGGCTGTATGCTTGTCGTTTTGTGACAGAGTTTGAGGCTTAAGGTTTAGGGTTTAGGGTTTAAGGTTTAGGATTTAGCTTTGGGATTTAGTGTTTCGAGTGAACGACCTTTTCATAAGATATATTGACTAATAAAAAACCTTTTTAAAATATGATGTTTATTATATAGTATGAAATATGAAAATCACAACAAATACATCATCCAATCCCTTACGACGTCAAAAGCGGACTATGATTCTGATCTATTTGATACATGAAGCTGCACACAACAAAACTTATTTCCCTACAATGACATTTTTAAACCTGTTTTTCATGTTTTCCGTTGCGTTTTTGTGGGCCTGTCTTCTATGTATATACAAGAAAAAAGAATCCCCACAATCTGGGGTTTGTATCTCACGTTGCTGTCGCTGTAGGTATCTGGCTAATCTTTTCGATTATTTTTAGAAATTCATACATGTACAAGAGAATAAAATCCCTACAGCGATATTTTTAAAATTGCCATTATGGTTTTCTGTTCTTTATGTTTTTCCGCTGTTGTCCATGTCTGCCTCTGGCTTATCCTTTCAATGGTGATTGGTACAATGCATAATCAAAGCATTAAAATATCAGCACAAAACAAAATGAAGTATGGAAGTGCGCAAATAAGCAATGTATACATAGGGCCTCGTAGACAGAGTTCCTCGTGTTTTCCTCCCCAAATAAACATGTGAGTTTGAAACAAAAAGGTATGTGTGAGCCGGGGACGGAAGGCGGATGGTCCGGCTCTGTCGGCCCCTGGCTATGACGACAAAACGATGAAAAAAAAAAAACCTCATAAATAAATAAACAGTCAGTCAGGGATGCCCAGTTCGTATGGGCTTCTTGCTCCTGCATAGATATGTTCTATTGCTGTGTGTCTAGAATGATTCTTACGCACACATTTCATAGTAGCATAACGGAGGTAGCCTGCGCCGCCGCTTGTTCTTCGAGCCGTTGGTGTATCTGATGAAGAAATAACAACATGTAGTGATTCAGGATATCCCATCCAAGGAATGGGAATGCTCCTAATACATGTAGTGATTTTGCAAAAAAATTGATGTTTTGTGCCTGCTGGATGATGGCTGTGAGGCTAATGCGCACCCAGCATTGGCAGATAGCTCTCGCCACAGACACATTGTCTCGAAGTACATTGGTCTTCATTCGTTTAAATATTCCTTCGAGAATTGCGAAAAAACCCTTGACTCTACTCAAGACCGCTTCGGGAGGAATGCCTTTGAACGTCATGAGGCCAGGGAATCAAAAGAATCAAATTATTTAAATTATCTAAATTCTTGGGCCTCCCCCAGAATTCAAAGAACTCACTATTCAAATTGTTTACATTCTTGGGCCTCCCATGACTCTTATAATTAATACATAAAGAAAAACCAGCGGCAACATAGTACATAAAGGTCCCTCTTTCATATCTATATATCTAAATATATATATATATATATATATATACAGATATATATTGGTTATTGATTTTATGTATTTATTTACGTATGTATATAGACGTATGTACATCTGTATATATATATGTATATATAATTATATATATATATATACATACAATATGCCAACTGGAATCTCAGTTCTTGTCCGCCTCTTCGTGTTCTGATCGAAGACCTCCCATCCTGGTGGCTTCATTAGAAAAAGCATGTCCACGGAGTGCAGGGCAACGGACGGCTCAGAGTACGACCTGCCAGGGCCAGGGTGCAACAGGGTGTAACGGCACATGATTCCTTCGAAGCGCCCACCTTGTGAGAAGCGATTCTGCAGCAGGCGGTCGCATGAGGATGTGTCCATCCAGGCAGCTGCCGTGCTTTTGCAGTTGGCGCGACGCGGCCGTGTAGAATTGCTCGTGAAGAAAGCCAGCGGCGTGGCAGGCAGAAATCAATCCCACAATGCAATATGCGGGAGGGGTCGTGTCTGCAGCTACGATGCGACGCACAAGCTCTTCTTGCAATGGGTCGAAGAATCCTTCAGCCATTCCAGAGGCAGCAGCACCCCATGAGAGCTCCATCAGCTCATCCCAATCAAATGCCGATATGTTCGGGATGACCTTACAGAGAACTGCATCTGCAAATTCACCATTCCTTGCGCCAAGCACTGCCAACGCAGACCATAAAGTAGTCAGCTCCTGAGGGGGGTGGTTGCTCTCGGCCCGTAACCTCACGAACGCCTCTTTGAGGGTGAAGTGTATGACAATCGGATCACTGATGAAAAGGGCTGCCACTGCGCAGGGAAGTGCTGAAACTCCACGCTCGATCCCGCTGTCCATCAAACTCCAGAGAACTGCAATACCTGCTTCGACGGCGCTGCTTTTGCCACAGCTGCGTACTACGGACAAATAGCTTGCGGCATCTGGCACCGGCGTCGTATGCACCTCATGCAACAGCTCAAGCGCCACCTGCCAACAGGCAGCCGCTTCGCAGGACCACAGCACCGCTGTGTAAGATTGAGTGTCGTGAACACGTGCTGCCCAAGATGTTTCCAGAATATCGAGGGCTTGCTGCCAGTGACCCTCAACGCAGCAGCCTAGCACTGAGCGGTACGCCACAGCATCCACCTCTTCAAGGCTCTGGACCAGCATGCTCAGAAGACTCAGCGCTTGCTGCCACTCTTGCGATGCCTCGCAGCAGTTGATGGCAGCCGTGACCGTTAGAGCGCCAGGCGAAAGTTTCTGTGCCTGCATTTGTTGCAGTAGACAAATAGCCACTTTCCACTGTCCTTCCTGTCGGCAGGCAGTGATGGCGGCAGTGTAACTTGCTGCAGTGGGATGCCCTGTGCTCAAGAGGCAAAGGGCTTGCTCCCAAAGCTTCCAACAAATACCAATCGCCGTGCTGATCGTGACTGCATTCGTAGGCATCGAACCCAGCAAAAGCAGGCCATGTTGCCAGCCACATTGCCCAGATGCCTTGATCGCAACCTCAGTGAGGGCAACGGCCATTGGGGCACAGAGGCAAGTAAGCGCGTTAGGTAGCCCTAAACCCTAAACCCTAACATCTAAGCCCGAAACCCTGGCAGACTGGGGTGCGGACACTGGAACTTGCTGCATCGAGCTGAATGGTGACGGAGAGCATACTTTGCACGCCCGCCAGTGCTGATCTCCAGCCAGATGCCTTCTCCACCACATCGTTCATCGAATTATACAACACTGCATCTCGCTGCACACCTCTGCTCCAGGCATAGTTGTGGCATATAAAGCATGTCCCAAAATAGGCGTACCCTTTCTATACCCCAGATAGAATAGAAGCCCCTTAAAGGGACCCCCCAAAAAAAGGACCCCTATTCTCGGACGCTCTCTCTACACGGTTCAAGTCGCGGCACCCCAGCAGCGAAGGTCCCACGAGAGAGTCGACAGGAGACGCCAAGCCCCTCGTGAGCAAGACTCGTGCAAGACAGAAAGGGTTGCAAAAAGCACAAGACCCCCAGGTGCATGCCAAGCCCCTGGCCGGAAGATGGGTCTGCCTTTCTCAGTGAGCCGACCACCGCCGACGCGGTGACTTGGTTAGGGCTGATGGCACTTCCCCGCATCGTGTTGAAGATGTGGAGGGCCGTTTCCCACTGCTGGCCCTTCCTCGTATGTATACATACATATATATATATATATATAATTATATGTACATAATTATATATGTATATGGACCCCAAATGGGCAAAACCTTTGCGTCTCTAGTGTCATTATTTCACCGCACGATGTCTTGTTGATGCATGCAAACTATGTGGGCCTGCGTGCAAATGTGTATGCAAGCCGGGTAGAAGCTGGAGTTAGGAGGGCCATCGTGGGAGCTTTGGCACTTTTCGGCGGCTGCTTGCAGCTAGAGCCTCTCGCATGCATGAATAGTTGAAGTGAAGGTGATAACATCCGGTCGCGCAGGCGAGCGCATCATTGCGCTGAAAATCTCAAGTGCCAGTTGCCATTGATTCTGTGCACGGCCTTGGAGAGAATGGAGAAAAAGTCCAAGTAGACTCGTGCTCTGAGGTACGGCAAATACCGGTACGATGCTGTACAGACATGAGACGTGCGCAGAAGTTGATGACCTCGCTGCAAACAATGTTCTTCGGAGGAATAGAGGCTGCGGACATGTCCTTTACGAGCTTGAGCGCGGCAGCCCCATGCCCACACCGCGTGCACACCAAAATTGCCTAAGTAACAAGTGCCATCGACAGGAGAGCACGGGAAAAAAAAAAAAAAAAGCGGATACGCACAAGACGAAATTGCATAGTCGAAGCCTCACAGATTGTGCTATCGCCAGGCCACATGGCTGAAGATGAACTCATTCTTGGCCACAGAAGCCTTGACGCAGAAAGTTCGCGTCTGGAAGTTACATGCCCCTGCTGCTTTCCAACGCACCAAGCAACGTCGTCCATCCTCTGCAGCAGCGAAAGAGCTTGTTGCCACTGCAGGCCACGCTTGCAAGCAATCAGAGCAGAGCCGTAGCGGGCAACAGATTGCGGCACCTGAATCTACACGTGTCGTCTCGGAAAGTAACCAGACAAGTTGGGTGGTGGCAGAGGTGCAACACAACAGCCTGCGCAGAATCCAGATCGGCAACGGCTGTCTGCCACTCGCAGCCGCCTGGCCGCAATGCTTCTCCTCCAGGCAAGGACCAAGCTCAGATCCACGTCTGGCATCATGCTTCACTGCAACTGCCTGAGTGTGGAGGCTCTCGTCGCGTGGGCCATCGCGGGCGCATCTTTCTTCAGTCAACATCGAAAGCGATTTTAGTTTATACATGCTTCCGATGCTTTGACGTGTCCCTGTCGAGCCCGATAGGCTGGAAAACGGGTGCAGAATGGTGCAGACGATGAGATGCGACTTGGCATACAGCTGACGACGTGCATGCAACTGCATGGCGCAAGACCACGCGTCAAGCCTCAAACACGCTGTAGAAGTTCCTCAGTTAAACTCAATCCGAAGAAAGCCGTCTCTTCGTCACAACGCGAAACTCCCATCAACAGTAGGGGTGATCAGTCTCTTAAGCCATCTCTCTTGTGATGGGATCTGGTCCTGGCCTGCTTTCACTCTCTGCCCAAGGCATCTCTCCTACATATTATGATTGCTTTAAATATTATGGTTACTATTAGAATTGTTACTGTCATTATCATTATTATTATTATTATTGTTATGGTTATTGTTTTTGTTGTTCTTATTACTATTCTTACTATTAGTAATTTATGACCCCCACGCACGGGCAGCTCCAGCTTCATCCCACAGATCTCACAGCCTTTCCCTGGCATCCCCTTCGGAGATCTCGACATTTGCTTTCGGCTCCATCTTTATTTCCACAGGTTGCTTATAACCTCTTTTTCAGGTCTACATAGTGCCCGATGTTTGCAGGCTTTCTACTTTCGACCAACTGCGGCTGTGATGCTCAGATCCACCCAGGGCGACCAGGCAGTAAGCGTTGGTGAGGCGAGCGAAAACGCCCACCTGTAGTGTCTTGTGGGTTTGGGACTTGGAGCCCACATAGACCCCACTGACCCCACCCCCACCTTTCTTTCCTTCCGCACCACGGGCACACTGCTTTGCTTTCACAAAGGAATGGAATGTGCACTGCATTTGCCAGGTGCTAACAGCGAAGGTAGTTTCATCCACATGCCCGAATGCGAGCATCAAGCTGTGCGGATTGCGGTCTCACGGCTGCCTCATTGCTATTCTCGAATGATGCACGCACCGCCATGCAGTCGAAACCTGCAGCCGAGGGAAGAGTTGCCAGTGCCCTTCTCAAAATTCTTTTCTCACGACCTGTTTTCAGCAGGGCTCCGGGAGCTGCATGGATTGGACATCCCATCCCGGCCTCTGGTGCGCGCCCCTGGCCCTACAGTCTGGATAAGGAAATGTCGCTGCGGGCCAGAGTCATGAGCCAACATGTCACCGGGAACATGTCGCGCAGTTCTGTTTCAGAACAAGTTCTGCCACTGAAGCATCATCCCCATGATCACACAAACTGAAACAAGGCGCCCTTTTTCTCGGATCAGTGGGCTGATTCAGCTGCCTGAGCCGGCACAAGAAGCAGGAGAGAATGTCTGTTGGCAAGACCGCGTGAAGCTCACACAGAGTACAAGTAGAGGACACACAAGCCAGCAGAGGGGGGACGGGCATATATGGAATAAAATACAGTCTATGTGGAGGCTAGGGGACTTGCAAAACACCACCTTCAGCAGGAGGCGTGCTTTACGTGTGAAAATCCTACAACAAATATGACAAAGCCGACGCTGTAGCAGCATGCTTCATGGAAGAGTTCTGGCAAGGCCTCCTATGTCTAAGGTGAGCACCTGGGAGGCTGCGCATCGCTTGCGGGAGTTCTCGGCCGTGAGGTTGGCGCAGAAGACCTGGGAAACGTGGGTTTAGGGTTGAGGGTTTAGGGTTCAGGGTTTAGGGTTGAGGGTTTAGGGTTCAGGGTTCAGGGTTTAGGATTTAGGGTTTAGGGTTTAGGGTTTCGGGTTCGAGGCAAAGGGGCACCCACATGCAAACATCGGTGAGTGCACACATGGCCTCGTCGGATGCTGACTGTGGATGGCCCAGCTGCTGCCTCGGCCCACTGCAAGGACGTTGAGAGTTGCAGAGCGTCCACTACCTCTCTGAAACTCTTGTCGCCTGAAGACAGCATGAGGCAGCATCCACCGCGCCGGACTTCCCTATAACTCACGAGCCTGATAAACTCCTGGACTCCTAACTGTCGTGTGCTTCACTGAGCTCATTATGCGGGTTGCGTCACTGAACCCATGGTTTGAAATGCCTCAAGGCAGAAGACTTGAGGGGAGTGTAAACGCGTGAACCTGTCGTTGCACTGCAAGACGTCCCTTTCCGATTCCCGAGAAGTCAACACATGTAGTGCAGGCTGCCCCGCATATCAAGTTCGGACTCGTAAGCTCAAGACCGATGTCGGCGCACAGCTGCCGAAAAGGCTGATCCTGCAGAGCCGATGAAGTACCTCAAAGAAAGCTCAAGCAAAGCAGCTGCCCTTGAGGCGAAAAACAAGTTCAAGCATGCTCTCGAACTGCACTTTTTCTGCACATATGCTGCCCCTGAGATCGCGCGCTCTGCTTGGGACACAAGCTGCAGCTCGATGAGCTCTTCCTGCCCGCGGAAGTCAGGCCTGCGACGGTCAAGACGCATTCGGGGCCCCCACGTGCGAAACATTGCGAAACCGTGAGCCTCGCGAGGGCGAGAATTCAACTTAGCCTCACACATCTCTGCCCCATCATCCTGCGAGAAGAAGTACAAAGCCTGAGGAAAAAGCAACTGCACATCCGTGTACCATGTCTTAGTACCAGTCTCGGCTCCCATACGTTGCTGGTGCTGGAGACTGAGGCCCGTACAACTTTGACACCCGCACGTAGATCCGCCCGAAAGCCTGCACAGCAGCGCCCCCGAGAATTCACCAAGTGGCCAGAATGGCGCAACACCATGCAATGCCTTCTTCGGCATCCCCTGCCACGAAGACTTGCTCCAGCTGCCTCCTGGGCGGCGAGCACAGCTGTTGGCTGTCAAATCTGCAGATCCGGGAGCACACATGGTACGAATACTCTTCGACTCTTACATGTCGTAACGTCCAGTTCGGCAGGTTGCCAACGCCGACATGCTACAATGCTCAGGACGCCCCAAAACATCCCAAGGCCCCTCACCTCTGTCTCACGACCATTCCACCATTCCACCACGCGGGGGGGGGGTTTAAAACCGATGGGCTTCAAAGATGTCTGGGAGGCTGGGTCGCCCCCAAGGCGTAAAAGAAGGTACTACGATGCCTCCTACGCAAGCCACCCGAAAGAAAGCACAAGCTCCCGGATCCTTAAGGCAATAAAAACTCCTTATCTTGGGAATCTGCCCCCAGAAGGGGTTGTGGAGCCCCATGCTCTTACAGCTTCGGCCAGTCCGCAGACCCCCCCCCCTCATATTTACAACAAGAAGCAAAAAGGGGAATGGGATGGAGGGGGGGAAGGGGGGGGGGGTGGCTCTTCTCATCGAACAGGTCAGGATAACTTCGACTGAAGCCCAATAGGAGAAAAAACAATTGGTTTGGCAAACAGCTGCAGCTTTCTATAGCCTGCGCACGTGCTCACTGCATCTGTTCACTTCGAATGCTGGCTTGGCGCATGGCTTTCTCAGCAGGCGATTGATTCTCGAAGCCGCAGCTGCAGCGCTCGGGGTGGTCATCTGGCGCTGCGCAGTGCTCCCAATTACCTAGCTTTTACATGCACATGCCTGCAAGTTACTCATGGCCCATTTTTTTTGGTGCCAGCTGGGATCAGCAGGTGCACTTGATCTTCCGTCGTCTGCGCTGGGCCGCAGGATGTCTGTGCCACGGCGGCATCACCCTCAACATAACCACATTTTGCAGCTTCAGTGGCATGCCCGTGGTTGGAGCTCCCAAGCGGCAGTCCACGAAAGGCCAGAGGACACACAGGCACGCCTTTCTCGAGCATAGAGACAGTAAAGCCCGTCTCTGCCATTGGTGACATAACAGGCCACCACTTTGGAAGTGATCTTCTCGGCACAGGCTGCCAGAGTCGCAGGAAGACGTCCCTGGCTGCCACAGCCAGCATGTCGTCCACGATGAAGCCGGCCCTCTTCCCTTTGAGTGTACTCTTGGAGCAACACGTTGTACCACAGTAGCAATAGGATAGGTGCTCATTAGTGAGCCCAGCAATGTTAATAGCCGCCCGCAGCCTCGACAGTACACAGCCCTTGGTCAAATCTGAAGAGCGCAAGCTTGGAATGTCTGTAAGTGCTAGGAAGTCTGGTCTCAAACGAACAAAGAAGCTGTACGTGCGGTTCAATGCAGACTCTCTTTCCAGCACTTTCTTGAGGCAGGTTTTTATCCTGCGGAGCTGGTTGGCTGATGTGAATTCCCAAGCTTGTGCCACTTCAGGCGGCAGAGCACTCTGAATTCGGTCCACGCAGAGCAAGTACTCTGGCGAAAAGCCGTCTTGCTGCAGAGGCTGCAGAATATGGAGCACATGCGAGCGGAACACTGTGGAAATGCCACGTAGCTTCAGCACGTCCAGGGCCCGTTTCGTCAGCTCTCTGGTCATGCGAGCTTTTGCAATGACACGCAGCAGCAACCTCGATTGGCCTACAACCATGACGGCGACCATTCTGCCTCGCGAGTCTGGTGGATGTTCTTCTGCATGGCTTCCGGTGGACGGAACGGGTGTATTTACACCTTGCAAATGCTCCATCTCAGCTGCCTCCTGACAAAACAGCATCTTTTGCACCCACCTTCAGAGCACCCTTAAAGTGTTGATCCCGCTACGAGCATCAGTTGAGGCGTCCGGAGCCATGGAAAGACGTTCGGAAGGGCAATTGAGGGACACTGGAAGGACATGACAACGTGAGGCTGGTGCAAGCAGGACGAAACCATGGCAGAGCAGAACTTGGAACCGAGAGGAGTACAGGGTTCTTGCAGCATTTGTAGTGAAGCTTATTGAGTCCCGGTCTCGGCCCTTCCCTAGCTTCCAGGCCTGCGCCTACATTGTGCCTACATCCCCCCAATGCGCGCAGCACTGCAGCACACCGGTCACCAAACGCTGGTCCCCGAAAGTTATCGAGCAAACCACAAGCGCTACGACTCCAAGATACCTCTGCCGAAATGTGGAAATAATCTCGCTCCGGCGCGGCCGTCGCTTTGCTGAGGTTCGCGACATCAGCACCTTCCACTTCGGAGGCACCTAGCCTGTTCTCCAGCAAGAAGAAGCCTTCACAAGAGGGATCTCAAATTCAACATCCAGGGTAGTTGCTCTCTTTCTTTGGGCGTCGCCTTGACTAGTCTCTTCCGTTTGGGCGCTGCTTTTCATTTTCGGAGAAGGCGTTTGGGCCAAGCGGAACAAGCACGCACTGCCCCCCTAATTTCTACAGCAACGCGCACTGGTCTCGCATGTCTTCTCCTGGCCTGCGTTCAGAAGAACCATGGCCGGCACGAGAGCTCGGCAACGCTTGAACTGGAGCATGCCCCGGCTGCGACGACATGGCACATGAGGCTTAAACAAACTCGAAAACAGCTCAACGGCTAGGAGCCTCAGTTCTTATCCTAATCATCAACACTAGTCCCAGAGAGGTGCCATTGCGTCAAAGAGCTTGTATCCAGCAAGAAAAAGATGATACGTTGTCTTCATAGAAGAGAGGATGCATCATGCAGGTGGAAAGCTTGAGCACAGGCAAGGCCGCCAGATCTGGACAGCAGGGTTTAGGGTTTAGGTTTTAGGGTTTAGGCCCTAAACCCTAAACCCTAAACCCTGGGCCCCGTCTCCAAAAAAGTGGCAGCTCCACCTTGTGCGTGACAGTAAAGTCATTCCGGCGAATGTGCACCCCAAGGTAGGGCAACCTGGGCGGCCAGACATCCAACAGCAAACCTGTCTACACCAGCCTCCGCCGTCTCTAAACCCTAAACCCTAGACCCTAGACCCTAAACCCTAAACCCTAAACCCTAAACCCTAACCTTTGGCTCCTGGCGGGCCCAGCGCCAAGTCGGTGAACTTCTTCACCGCTGTTACAAGAGGCGGAGCCAGAGCAAGCCTCGAGATCATCTGATGGCACTGGGGCTTTCCCAAACAAAATAATTGTTCTTATTATTATTAGTACTATTATTATTATTATTCTGATTATTATTGATATTATTGCTGCTATTATTATAAGAACTCTATTTTATTACTGCTCATGTTTTAACTGTTATTGTTCTTATTGTTACTGTTATGAGTGTCAAGATGCTTGTGGCAGTTGCTTCAAGAACGTCACGTTCGGCAGACTCGACTTGCGTCAAAGGCAGCTCTGGCAACTTTGCAGGATGAGGCCACAGCACTTTGTGGAATCTCATGGCAGGATTGCCTGTGGGTCAGCACCGGATTCAGAAACTGAAAACGCTCTGATTCGGAAGCTGGAAAAGCCTGATTCAGAAAATGGTAAAAACCTGATGCAGGAAACTAAAAGGAGCTAATTCGGGAAACCGGATTGGGACAACCCGGTTATGCAGGAAATTGGAAAGTGCGGACTCGGAAACCGGGATTCGGGAAACTGGAAACCGCCGATTCGTGAAACTGGAAAACGCAGATTCGGGAAACTGCAAAACGCGGATTCGGAAACCGGGGATTCCGGAAACTGGAAACCGCGGAATCGGGAAAGCAGGACTCGGGAAACTGCGGATTCGGGAAACCGCTGATTCGGGAAACTGGAAAACGAGGATTCCCCTGACCTGATTCGGTCGGGACATGAAGGTTATCAACCCCACCACCCCCCCACACCCAATTTGCATTCCTTCCTCAATAGAGCAGTCTTGATGAATCGGTCAGGACATGATTGTTATCAACCCGCCCCCCCACCCAATTTACAGTCCTTCCTCAATAGTGCAGTCTTGAATGGCAAGATGTCGATACCCTGAATCGGTCGCGTGGTTTCCTGAATCGCGTTCGTTTCCTGAATCGTGTACCTTCCTGAATCACGTAGTTTCCTGAATCCTGGTTTCCTGAATTGCGTCCAGTTTCTGAATGGCGCTACGTTCATTGCCCTTGACGCGCCGTGCACTTCACATGAGAAGCTGCAACGTGCGAATTCCCTGCAGGGAGGGTTCAACCCTAAGCCCTAAGCCCTAAACCCTAAACCCTAAACCCTCAACCCTAAACCCTCAACCCTGAACCCTAAACCCTAAACCCTAAACCCTAAACCCCAAACAGCCTTCGGGATGGTGTAGCCTCAGAGCATCGAGGTGCTTTATCAGCAGACTCCTCACCGGGGCAGATGCAAGGCAGATGGCAGCGGAGCATTCTTCAGGGGACCCCTTCGACCCTTCAAAACTACGAGTTGCTGAAGAACCCCCCAAAAAACCACAAAAGCATTCTTCCTTACCAGGGCAATGTTAGGGATGCAAAAGGATTCTTCCTTATAAGGGCAATATAGGGACTACTCTTCTACACGTTTTGGGGTGGTTCTTCGGCAACTAGCAGGAAAGACAAGGGGAGGACCCTAAACCCTAAACCCTAAACCCTAATTTCCTTCCCTTCGTGTGCTCGACCAAGTCAATGAGGCCCTTGAGGGAGCTCTCCCTCAGAACCTGGGAGACGCGCTGAGTGAAGGCGCAGCACTCTTGAGCCCGCTGTGTCCCCTTTGGTCCACTTTTTTCAGTTTAGGGTTTAGGGTTTAGGGTTTAAGTTCAAAATTAAGGTTCAGGGTTCAGGGTTCAGGGTTCAGGGTTTAGGGTTTAGGGTTTAGGCTTTAGGGTTTAGGCTTTAGGGTTAGGGTTCAGGGTTCAGGGTTCAGGGTTTAGGGTTTAGGGTTTAGGGTTTAGGGTTTAGGGTTTAGGGTTTAGGGGCGCGGCTCCACATCGCAGGCTCTTCACTGCGATGTCTCCGTCACAGTACCTTCGAGAAGGCTGAGAGCGCATCGGGGGGCCCTTGAAAGCCAGGTCGGAAGTGACTTGGAGGTTCATGGTTCTTAGTAACCCATTGTAACTGTATTCATAACCCACTTATAAGCGCTTTAAGTGCCCTAAGCCGGATAGAAGTACAGTGAAAAAGTACACCCTAAACTCTAAACCCTGAACCCCTTTAAGTACAGTTACCATTGGTTAACAAGTACCATGGACCTCCAAGCCAGCAGCTTTTTGGGCGCACCCGGCATAGACCACAGAATTGCCTTCGGAAGGAACAGTTCAGGGTTCAGGGTTCAGGGTTCAGGGTTTAGGGTTTAGGACATGTGAGAAGAGCACGAAGAGCTAGAACCTGAGACTTGACACCGAGAGCTGCACGCTGCTTGCCAGCTTGGGGGACCTGCTGGCCGTGAGCTTCACAGGCCTCACCATGGTGTAGGTCATATGGTTTAGGGTTTAGGGTTTAGGGTTGGTTAGGGCTTGGGGTTTGGGGGTTTGGGTCTTAGGGTATAAGGTTAGGGCTTAGGATGTGCCGATTTCCTTGAAGCACGTTCTGGAAGAATCGCGCCATGCCTAGCGTTCAATGTTGCAACCTCCGCCCCCCCCCCCCCCCCCAACCCCCCACCCACCCTGTGATAGAACATAGAATCAATACCTCGCTGCTTTCTGGACCTTGTCTGGCCCTAGCTGCTAGCTGCTAAAGCGAGGCTAAACTCAAGCCTAGCTCCGCAAGCTTCTGCGACTTCTGACTGCCTGCATGTCGTTGGTGAACCCCAGGAAATCGGCATGCCCCTCCTGCAAAGATGCGAGGCACGGGCTTTTGTTCCGAATCGTTTAGAGGCACCCAAGGAGGCCTTGAGCTGAGCCGAGCGGGCACCGGGAACGCCGGGAACCAGCACGACCTTGAACCACAAAAGCTCATTTGCGAGGCTTCTCACCAATTTCTCACAAGTCACCTGTTGCATTTTGGGGGCCAAGCGCCCAGATCGACTGTGAAGTCTCCAAGGCCAGAGTAATCTGTTACTGGCACCTGCTATTCTGACTTGATCAAACTGAATCAACGTTTCTCAGGGCGGTCTTTCAAGAAATTCCCCAAAGAGATCCGTGTCGCTAAGCAGCCTTGAGCTGAGTTGCTTAACACAACTTGTGCTTCTTCTTAAGTGGGAAGCCTCAGCCTTGAACGCCTCGAGGTTGAAGAGGTCACTCCACCTCAGCACATGCAAAGCCCTAAAGTTCCAACAGTCGCCCGTCCCAACCGCAATTTACAGGAATGTGCTGGTTTATTCTACAGGATGGGGGACCCAGGATGGCTTCAACCACCGCACCCGCCCCCGAGTGTCAGACGGTCTGCCCCTCGCTGCATCGGGCTGGTACCAGCGCGGCACCCAGCACCACGGCCTCACCGCCAAGAAGCAGTCAGAAGCAGCTGCAAGGGAATTGCAGGTTGACAGCTGAAAAGGATGCGTGGGTCTCCCAGCGGCAACACCAACGTCCAAGGTCGGCAGCTGCTACCTCTCAACGATTCAGGTCCGTCTGCCCTGGTCCACATCTACACGTCCTTTGACCGCCCCACAGATCTGCGGTCTGAGGCCACGCACCTGAAGAATCTTTGCAGGTACTGCTGAGACGCCTGCCAAGAATTGTCAGCCGACAGGATCCCGGAAGCCCCTTCGTTTGTCAGCTTCTGAGCCTGTTCAGCTGGGACACGAGCTCCAAGGCCACAAAGAACACTTCCACCTGAAGCGGCTTGCTTGTTGTTTTTTAGGACGCTAGGGGCAGCCTTCCAGTTCGAGAACAGCTGAACAGACAAGCCCAGGCGGTCAAAAACCAACAGTAGCTGTGCACCCTAGACTAAGCATGAAATGCACCATTTGTGGTCTCAGCATGGTTGGCCTGTGCCATGAAGCCAACCGGGTAGCGAGCGTCCTGAGTCGTATCACGTGCCACCATCGTGCTCTCGTTCACAGCAATAAGATTCCAGGGAAGGCGCGTAAAACAGATACCGCAGCTCTTTGGATTCTTTGGATGCATCATCTTTGGACGCATCTTTGGATGCCTCGCTGCCACCATCTCTGCATGTCAAGTCATTAAAGTGGGACGTGTCGCGCGTGTCGGACGCGAACTTTTGTTTATGTTCCCTTGGCCTTGACCGGTTTGACCGATTTGGCCGATTCCGATGCACCAGCTTTCGGTGCGGACATCGGCTGGGGCGCCTGAGAGCCACGCACAAACGGGGCGCAGAACTTCACCCCATAAGTCGAGAGTTAGGTCGAGGCCTCGTAGCCGTCGCAGCGCATCAAACAAGATGCCAGTGGTTCATCCTGCTCCTTTCGACCCACTCGAACCCGAAGGCCAACTGAACCCGACGCTGAAGCTGCTGCAACCTACTTTGCCTCAACAGCTGTCCTGACATAGACACCGAGGGCGTGCATCCCGGAGGCAAGAGCCTTCCAGCCTGCAACGACTAAAGCCAGTGGATGCGACAACTTCTCTGGATAAAGGTGCATGGACTCAGCCTGGCCGTGAGCGCTTTCTCCGGCACCACTCTCGCACACCAGGCTCGGCACGCCTGCGCCCCTTCTGCAGCAGAAGGACCTGACAGTACAGGTTCTCGCGTCAGGGAAATGTAGTCATTGGGAAACGAAGATTCACAAAAGAATGCTCATGAAATCTTGAGTCCAGTCATTCACAGGCCCTCCTTCCGAAAAGGTGGAACGATGATCCGGCAACTATCAAAGGATTCGGACGCCATTCAATGCCTAATCAGAAACGATCATAATTCGGAAGCCGACTCGGGAGCCGATGACTGCTTGAGACATGCGAAGTGCGAGAGGGTCCGGCTTTATCTCTTTCCTCAACCGCGATGGATGGGCATCCGCTCTTTGAGGTTCATAGGTCTAAAAACATCGACCGTTCTGAATCGAAGCATGTTCATCGGCTCACCGTGCACGATGCCACCAACTGCTGCCAAACTCGGCGCCCGACATGGCGCACGAAGCCCAGCTCGCACCTGGGCACGAACTTACCAAGACCCTCAAGTTGGAAGTCCCTCTTCAAAAGCCAGGGACACCGGCCTGCTGGGCTGCCTCTATGGCTTGCAAGAGCTCGGGCCTTCAGCTGCCAGAGCATTCCAGATCCATCCCGTCGGCTTTGCTCTTCTCAGGTCGGGACTGGGATGGTAAGAAATCTGATTTGGCTGACTCAGCTGATTGGCTGTGTACAGCTTGCGCGCCTGAGCCCGGCCAGCTCAGAAGTCTCGAGGTACCGAAATGTCTCGGGATGTCCTCCCTTTCGGGGCACCCGACCGTCCTTTGAGACGAGTATGCCATGATCGGATCCGACCTCTTCTTCAGGGAGCATCCCCCGAGCTTCAGATGGGGTCATTGTGTTTGTCATACAAACTCTGCCGAACCACGCAAGTACTCAGAGACTGAGCGCACGGCCTTCACAAGGGAAGATGCAACAAGCTCCTGGAGTCAGAGAAGGCATCTTTGCAGGGCTGCATTGGCTCACACGTGCTGCCATGTGCCTCAACTGCTACAGTCTATAGGGTGCGCTTCTCTTTTCGTTTTTCCAAGCACCTGTGGCCTCACTCAAGCAGTTCAGAGACCGGGCATTCCAAGGCCGCGGGGTTGAGTAAATGAGCCACTCCTTGAAGATATCTGGAGACAAGTTCCACATAGCTACATACTTCCAAAAGGAGCAGGGACATCATGTTGGTTTGAACGTCGTGCCTGTGGATAGTCCCCTGTTGCCATGGCATAAAGCACATGTGAAACTGGGTGCGCGGGGAGGAGCCAGCCGCCCTACACCCTAAACGACCCAACGACCAAACCCTACATCCCAAACCCCACGCCCTTCAAGCCCCTTAAGCCCGCTAAACCCTAAACAAGCAAACCCTTAACCCTATAAACCCTTCAAACCCCTCAGGGTTCACATTCCAGGAGTGCTCAAGCCGCTGCTGCTCCGTGGACGGGCAATTCTGAAGGGTCGAGGTATCTGTCTTGGGTGGCCCTACGTGAAAAAGCAGCCGTGGGCCCGCGGCAGACGGGCGAAGCCACAGCAGGACGTGCTTCAGTAGAAGGCTTCAGCGGCATCCGGTAGGTCACCCCAATCAGTGCAGCGATAGAGATCAATCTGACCAGTGAAGCGATGCCAATCGTAGAAACGGAGAAGAACGGAAATACCTTGTCTCCGGCTCGTACGGGCGGCAAATCTGAGCAGCATGGCGCTGCAGGGGTGGCACAAGATCGTTTTGGACCGTTTGGGCAACGCGGGCCCATTTTAGGCTGCAGGGTCACGAATGGCACGGCTCGGGCTCACTCACTAGGGTCTCGCTGCCAAGATTGCGAACATGGAAAATCAAAAGACCCCGGCTGCAAAGTCCAAAACAAACAAAACCGCCGTACCTCCAAAGTTCCATACAAAACTTCTTGACAGGTGACGTCCCGAACCGTAAACCACCTTCGACAAGGCCTCTAGCTTTGGAGGCAGCGTGCTCTGAACATTCCTCCGGCGGCCACTTCAACTTCCGCACTGCCGCCGCTTTCGCAAAATTGTGCCACTGCCGGAGCATGGTTCATGGCAACAATCGCAGGACGACCTAAGCTACAGCCGTTCTTTGTAAAAATGAGGATCTGTCGCAGGATTCACAGGTTTCAGAAGGTGCTAGTTGCACTCATTCCCCGACAAGAACTTGAGGAAATTGCCTCCTCTTTGTTCCATCAGCTACAGCTGTGGGATTTACCTGCAAGATCCAGCATGGCTCAAACGCTAGGGCTGTTACCTGGTAATGACCCCACCAAGACCCCTCAGTCAAACACTTGACAAGGCACGATGGCTTGTAGCCAGGTTTGTTGTGTCCGAGGCAGTGGGGATGACACGTGATGCTGTGCAGATATCTCATCTTCCGGCACTCCGGCCAGCTTCTCCTCTGAAGCTCGGCCCGACTCTCTTCCAGGCGGCCAATCCCGGACATCTTTCTGCAAAGGCCGCAGATGAGCATGTTGCACTTTCGGCACAATCACTCAGCAATCTGAGGATGGCAACCCTGTCGCAGAGGGGCACTTGTGCAGCTCTTCCTGTGTGCAACTTCATGACAGTTGCTGCGGGCTCGGGGCGTATGATGATGTGCTTCTGCTAAGTAGCTTCCTTTGCAGTGGTGACGTGGCGAAGCTCCTCCTGTGGGAGCCCTAGAAGTCTGAAGCAGTCTCGGTTCCCCTTTCGACGTTGCCAAAGACACAGAGTCAGCAAGATGCAAGATTCTCCGATTTGTGGCTAGCACGATGCTTTTTCGTGGCATCAGATTCATCAGATTCATCATGTTGCAAGCTGTGGCATTTGCAGGCACGTGTAATGTCTCAAGAACAACAGCTGCCCACCAATGAGGAACCAATCCGCAACTCCGCCCAGGTTCATGAAGAGTCTGGTTGCAGAATCACTGATCGCATCTCGCCTTGTGACCACCATGATCGGAACACTCTCTCGTGGGATGGGGAATCCTTGATGCAAGCATGCAGTGAAGCAGACAAACCGTGGAATACCCAAAACAAAACACATGCAGATCCAACCACGTGATTGACAGAATCTGCCAAACTCGAAATCTGGTGTCTTGCGGATACGTCAGAATCCTTGGGGCGCGGGGAAAGTCACCGACAAAGGTGTTACTTGCGGAAGAGAAGTATCTTCACCAAGCACACGGTAACTGGCAAATGAAGAAGCACGTTAAAGCAGATTTCAAAGCCACCCCGAAACAAGCAAAAAGAATATGTTAACTGATTTAACTGATGCGTTCTGCCTGATGAATGAAGCCTGAGGCTCGGATTGGCCCCAAGTCCGACCGGTCCAGAACCTTTGAAGCTTCCATGCCCTCCAGCGCTGCCGTCAAGAGCAGCCTGGAGACAACAGCACGTTGAGAGCACTCGCTAGATGTTGCTTCAGATTTTTCAACCCTAAACCCTAAACCCCTAAACCCTACATTGCTTGCAGGTCTTAGTATCAGCACTTGCAGAAGCCACACAAGTGCGGCCGAGGTGCGTGGCCGTAGTTTGAAAGCAGATACAGAAAGCCCGAGTGCGACACAACCTGCAAAAACGGGCGTGAGCCCTGCAAGTTGCACACAAAAAGTCGACACCTTCTGAAATGGAGGCTGGACATTTTTCCAAGGCGCTGCCAGTCGTTTTGCCGAAGAAATCGGCTCTTCTGTGAAGACTCTCCTGGGCGCTTCAAGACCACACTTATGGCCCTTGGCATGCCGTTTCTTGATAACGGTTTTAGTTTTTCTGAGTTGATGTCTTCTGCTTGTGCAGGTCAGGGCTCAGCAGGAATCTTTGTGCTCGTTGGGCACAAGACTCCCGCAGCTCGCGATCCATCCCTGGTTGCCAAGCCTCATCCGAAGGAGATACTCGTGAGAAATCCACCTTGCAACTCTCACAGCAAGAAATGTCTCAAGTACATATATATACATACATATATTTGTCAATTTAGATATTTTCCGTATTTGTATTTGTTTGTACTTATCTATTCATTTCTTCATTTATGTATTTTACATGTATATATATGTATATATATATATATATATGTTTCTGGGCGATGATTTTGAGTACATGCTTTTGTATATACTATATGCATGTATATGAACTCGTATATTTGATTACAGCAAGGCCGGTTTCCCTGGGCCTCAGGGAACTCGTCTTCCAGCTGTCCAACAGGCGGGCGTGAGTTGTGCACTGACGCTGACACCAGCTCCCGAAGCTCCTGCGGGACAAGCAAAAAGCTTCGGCATCAAATTATGGCGAATGATAGGGTTTAGGGTTTAGGGTTTAGGGTTTAGGGTTTAGGGTTTAGAGTTTAGGGTTTAGGGATAGGGCTTAGGGCTTAGGCTTGGGGTTTAGGGTTTAAATGAAAGTGAGAAAGAACGAAGTGAATACAGTGAATGCACTAGGGAAGCAAACGAATGTAATGCATGAACGTATGAACGCAGTGTGAACGTATGGGCGAATATAATATACTAGAAGCCCGTATAAAAACCATAGTTTATTATGACGGGCCTTTGGTATAATTCGCCCATGTAAAAGCCCAAATTAAATATACTAAATTCACGCGTAAACTTGTAATTTAGTAAATTTAAGGGGCTTTTAGTACGTTCACTTCATTCCTAAACTGTGAAGAGAATTTAATATTGAATTTGTAAGGAACAAAGTGACGCACGAAATTCAATATGAAATGAACGTAACGCCCTTTTCCTTTTTCTTTTCTCCTTTTATTAGTCTTTTTTATCGCGCACGCAGTAAGCATATGATTCGTGCGGTCGCTCTCTTCTTTCTCTCCCTTACAATCATATCCTCACAGCGGTCCCCTTAAAGGCCCAAATGAAAAGAAGAGAAAAAGGAAGGGCTTTTAAGGGAGCGTGAGGACATGAGTGAAAGAGTGAGAGAAAAGACGAAGCGAAAGAACGAACACGCGCTGACTTCGTTTACTTGTTTCGTACTTTTTCACTTCTTTTTCTCTCTTCTTATTATTATTTTCCCGGCCGTTCACTTGGGTTTAGGGTTTAGGGATGCTGCATCTGATGCAAGTGGCGCATCACACCGAAAGCTAGTGCTTCCTCGAGGGCCAGGACGCAACCGCTTCTCGGCTGAAAAGCCAGAAGGGCAGTTCGCACACAGCGCCGTAGCGGTGAGGTCAGGACAATGTCGGGCCAGTCCGCATCCTCAAGACTCACTCAATTTTCACTCAGGCATGATATTGACAGTACTTTTTTTTGACATCTTTGCCATCCCACTCATGTCCGTCGCCACGTTTCGACGAGACTCATTCTGCAGCCTCCTCGCAATGGCCGCTGCCTGCTCCTCGCCAAGCCTGGTCAGCCTCCCAAGTCAGCACAGTGGTTTGCTAAATAAATAAAAGAATAAGTAGATGCATATGTATATATACAAATATTTAAGTATAAAGAAGTGAGATATAAGTGAGATATATATATATATATATATACATAAGTGAATACAAATCTTAAGGTCTGAAAGGTCGCGAGATCGCTTGGGACCGTTTGGCCTGGAGTCCGCATATGTTGGAGCCGGCTCACCCTTTGCCACTTTTGCCAGCGCCACATTGTGCTCGGCTTGGCCATGCCGGACGAAATGCACCGTCTTGGATAATGGTCTTGAACCTGGCGCTTGAAATCGCATTGTGCTCTGTGAATGTCTATCTTGCATATGGATGCCATCGATAGCAAGAGCTCTGAATTGCAGCCAGTTAGCAACTCTCATATGGCAGCACTTGCACCTGAGCCGGCGACAAGTCCAGTCCTGGTGCGATGGTCTGAAATGGTGATAAGTTGTAATTGAGGGTACGCAAAGGTTTCCAACGGCATGAGCTGGGCAAGTCCTGCTTGCTTCGCCAAGAGTATCGTGCATAAACTGCAGAATACATGCCTCGCTGCCCAGCAGTGCGTTTGCTGCAAGGCACCATCAAAACGACCGTGACAAGAGCCCAAAATGACCCCAATTCTTCCCTTGGTCTGGCTGCCAACGCTTGCCATGCATCCGCTTCCGCAGGAGTCTTTGGGCATCCACCATGCTCCATCTCTGCATGCTAGAGCTGCTAAGATGGCGAAAGGCGCCTACCAACAAACCAAAAAGAGAAGCCTTGCACAGCGACAAGGCTGGGAGATGCTGCAGCATTCGTCAGGGAAGCTCAGCATGCAGTGTTGGCCCGAGGTGACAACCAAAGCAAAAGGTGGCCCAAAAATGGCCAAAAAAAGGGTGGCAAAAGTGGGGCCTGTCCTTGTGCGGGATGGCATTGCCTGATGCCGCGCTGATCCAACGGCCAGCATGTTCAGGAAGCTGCAGCAAGCGCAGCATTCCAGAAATATTTCCAGGAACACACTGGGCAATCCCCACTGAGTGCCGCGCTGCCGCTACTACCAGGCCAGGAAAGCTAGCAAAGCAAGCTAGTGCCCCAAGAAACTTGCCTGGATGGAGCATTGCCCGTCATGAGCTGCGGCGGCGAACAAGCTGCATGCTTCCACGAAACCCATCAAGCACAGCTACGCTGCTGCGTACGAACGACATGTTTCCTGTTGCTTTTAACTGCTCAAAAGCAAAATTGAGCTATGCGTTCTGCCACATGTGCCGGATCTTTTCTCATTGCGTTCAAAGACCCGACTACGCCGGACCGTTTCCACCGCTGTTGTCCCTCACTCTGCAGGGAAGCTGCTTTATGAATCCGAAGCGTTGCAGAAGTGTCGTTGGAGCTGACCGAGAACCGCAGCATGTCCAACAAAACGATGGTGCCGAGTTGATTCTCCTTGGTGTCGGGCACTGTCTGCCTCCACCTTCCCGATGCCTGCACAGGCCACACCAAGAAGTTCCTGGCATTCCCCGTGTCTGACAGCCCCACTCGGGCCCTCGTCGGCGCTGTGCTCGTAGGCATAGCGCACAGAAATGAGTGTTGTCTTCGCAGGTAGGACTGGTGAGCAAGAGGCGCCATGGTGCTGCAAGCAATGGTGGACAGCCATGCCTCGCACGTTCAGCCTGTCCAAGCCACTCATACCCTTGGGCCAGAGAGCTAAAACCGGAAGTGTTTGTGACTTGGCGGAGGTGGCGGCGGTGGCCGGCTTCGAATCGGGTTGGTCGGCTCCCGAGAGTCTTCCGGAAGAGATCTCAGAATGTCCTGACACTGGCTCATGGCTTCCTGGACTGCGCAGGCCGCTGGCGCGATCACAACAATCAAGCGACCCGAGGTCTCAAATGGCCGGCAACTGAGCCGAAGGCCGCACAAAGCCAGCTGTTGCTGCGGTAGGGCCCGAATCACAAATGTTTGGTTCATGTAAGTCTCAGCCCAGGCATGCTCTCCTGCCCAGCAAGACAGCATGGGCATCGATTGCTCCTGACCCCGATGGTTGTACCAATGAGCCGCAGCACCAAGGCCTCCCAGGAGCCCCGCAGCACCTCCCAGCGCCAGGACAATCCGGTCATCTTCTCCCACGCGGCCATGACAGCCCCACCGGCCCCTGCCACTTCCCTGGCGTGTGGCCCAGGCCACACAGTCCTCGGGAACCAGCTGGCAATGGTTGCTTGGGTAGACGACGAGCCGCAGGGCGGGCAGCATGCCGCCAGGACTGGGTAGCTCAAGCCTTACATAGGTGCAAGCTCTCCACTCAGGTGTGAATCTTGATTCATCATTTCAATGGGTTGGGACGCTTCCCCCCTTTACTGACAGTCCTTAATGGGATTATAGTACCCCCGACTATCACCTCTTTTAAGGACTGTTAGTATAAGGGGGAACATCCCGACAGGGCACCCTTCAATGTGCCGTACTTCCGACATGTTCCTACACTGACCAGGAAGAGACACACGTCGAAGTCAGTCATCGTGAGGGTCCTTTGCGGAAGGTCCACGGTCGCACTGGCCGCCGGTGGCCCCGCGGCTTCAAGAGACATCATTGCCCGGATCATCCTGACATGGCATCAGCAACTTCGTCAAGTGAAAGTCGCGCGTGCTCACCGCTGTTTATGGTCAGGGGACACGGAGAGTCAGCGCCAACATCCGCCAATCAACAAAACACTTCAGAAAAAAAGAAACACTTGGCCCTTTAAATGCCCATTGCCAGGCCAAGGCTCTCCTCACTAGGCTCAGCCTCGGTCGGGATCTGCCAGTGACTGCCGCCGTCACCTTCACACGTTGCCGAGACCCCCAAGAGACCCAACAAACCCTGAGCTCCAGCAAAAGCACATCGGTGCACATCGCAAGAATACATCGCCGAAACATCCCTGCCTTTGCCAGTCTCCAAGCGAAAGCCCAGTGCATGCAAGGCCTGCACAAGCTCTTCATGAAAAGCAGCAGACTCGAAACAAACTCAAGGAGTATTTCCTTGCTCTCCTTGCAGCTGTCACAGCCTCTTCTCTCACGAAAGGGTGTTCAGGCACTTCCAGTGCTTGACTGTAACACTTCTTTCAAAAGATTCCGAAGCCAAGGCCTGGCATGCGAGATCGTAGCTGCTTTTCGTGCGTGCCCGGACAGTATCGTCACGCAGCCGACGGAACTTCAACTTCTCCTGGCAAGCAGTTTACATGCCATGGGCACCCAAAAAAAAATCCTGCACACCGCGACATACCGCGACCCGAAGCCTCGCATGTCGACTGCGCGCCCGAGGAGGCAAGGTTCTGCGCAACAGTCATGAGCAGCTTGCGCGTGGCCTGAGCTGCACCGTCGGAACGCACCGCATGTGTTCACCAGGGATGTAAGGGCTCGCTTCAAGATGAACCGAAACTCTCCTTCATGAGAAGCTGCGTCTGAAGCTGCAGCAAGGCGTTGGCGAAGATCCTCACATGCACCAAGGATGCTGGCGGAAGCAGAGGGGTACTCTGCTGCTCAGCTGTGCCTGGTCCGTGTGGTCAGTGTTGCCAAGGCTGAGGAGGATGGCCTGAACACGGTGCTCCAGATGCTACTCTCGGAGCCCCTTGAGGAGCAGCTACCATTCCTGTGCCTGCTGAAGTTCAGCGTCCTCCTCTTCCATGGCACGAGGCCACTGCGAAAACACACTTGAAAAGCAGGCACTCTGTAACTCTGTAGAAACATCCCTTGAGCCAAAGCGGCCGAAAATATCAAACTGCTAAGATGCGCGTGAACTGCTGGAGATGCGTCGAAAAGGCTGACCTATCAATAACTCATAGACTTGCAGCTGAAACAGAGAGGCACTTTGCGCCGTTCGAGGAATGTTCAAGCCACAGAACAGCACTCCTGTGCCCAAAGCTGCTTTAAAAGCACTGGGATGTCAGCATCTTACGAAGAAAAATTAGAGTAACTGGGTCACGGTCGCTCGCTGGATTTCTCCCTAGGGCCATGTGTTGGCTGCAGCCTATAGTACAGCGTGGTGTCTAGAACCCTGGCTTCGAGTGCAGTGTCTCTCACGTCTACCAAGTGCCCCGGAGGTGCGAGCAACCCCGAGCGTGCGCGATTATGCACACGAAAATTATACACAACGTACACGATGTGAACGTTATGAAGGAAACTTATTCGTGGCTCCCGCACGAAAAGGATCTCTCAGCTCAGAACGGACGTCTGCCAGATGCAAGCGATGGCCTCACTTCAGGCAAGCGTGGCTGGCATGAGAATGATCCTTGATTCCTGCATTGCTGGCAGAACGCACCAGAGCATCGAGCAGGGTGGGTCAATGACGCTTGAAGCCGCTTGAAGGTCATGCATGTCAGCATTACATCCACGAACTTAGGAAGGAGGAGGTTGCGTGTGCGGCTCTCCTAGCGTCGGGGGCCATGGACAAGCGGCCACCGACCGGCCACGGCAATCTCGTTCACAAGTCTGCTTCCATCCCGGTGGGTCATGCTGCTTCTAGCGGGTGCCCGCTTCTGAAATTCTTCCATCCAAGGCACGCTGCGCAGCATATCTGGATCGCGCCCCAGATGCCTTGAAGCACAGATCTTCGGCTTCAAAGGTGCTCTGACATGCTCTCAGGCAAGAGATGCAGTTCTGCAGATCTTGTTCTGACACATGCAATGCTCGACAGACTGCTAATAGAAATGTGCAAGGTGTTCAACTTTCACCCGTAATTCGACATTCTGCGATGACTCACGACAAGCTCTCTCCCAGGTGCACGTAGTTCGGTGGATAAGGAGGAAGTGACAGAGCAGGCCAGTGGGTCCATCGCTGGTTGTCCAGCTGCCATCAAGCAGTCCACGCAAATGCCTCACACCGGGAAGCTCGGGACAGTTTCATCAGCTTCGGCTTTGTCACCCTAAACCCTAAACCCTAAACCCTGAACCCTAAACCCTAAACCCTAAACACCAACTCCGAGGTCGGAGCAGGGCTTCTTTGCGTGGTGGACTTGTGCTAGCTTCGGCCTTAGATACGAACCCGTGCCCTTCGCTACACGGGTTTAGGGTTTCGGGTTTAGGGCTTAGGGTTTAGGGTTTAGGGTTTAGGGTCTAGGGTTTAGGGTTTAGGGTTTAGGGTTGGTGGAGGTCAAAATATTAGGGTCCCTTTTTGAGTGCCCTAAATATTCGGTGCCGCATTTTGAATAGGGATCCAAAATTTGTGGACCATAATTTTGACAGCCGCCCAAATATGATCTCAGCACACTCCAGGGCTGTACCCCGGTGCCTGCGCCGACCTACTTTGCAAAACCCTGGCAAAACCTTGTGCTCGAAGCGTAGCCATGATCATCCCGGGAGCTGATAATCTGGCAGTCGTGGCAAATCACGGTCAGCTCGAAAGCCATGATGCATCCTCCAGGAAACCACGGCCTGCAACGAATGACGCGGCTCACAAACTGGTCATGCTCTTGCTACGCAAAACGCGTTGTAACAAATCTTGCCTCCACTGATTTACCTCCAGCATGCCGCATCCGAATTGAAGATATTGACCTCACCAGACATGTTCTGAGAATGCGCACAATTGGCATTGCTGTGCTCTTGACTACAGGACTCTCGACACTTTGTGCATGTCAGCCCTTTTCGTTCACAGGCCAGCAAGTCTGGCGCCACAAAAAAACACGTGACACATACTCATTCATGGACATGAAGCCGGCTTGCTGCATCATGCCCGGCCTGCGTTGAAAGTGCTTCTTCCTCTTGGCTTTGACGTCCGGGTTTGTGGAGACAAGGAATCGGCAGAATGCTTTGGGACAATCAGCCACAGCTTCGGGCAGGGAGACAGGTGGCACAGTGGAAGGCCGCCCGAGCTCATGTTGCACGTCATGTGCTTCGGAAGCAACAGCCACAGCTTCGGGCCGGGAGATGGGCGGCACGGTGGAAGGCCGCCGGGGCCCAGGTCGCACATCATGTGCTTCCCAAGCAACATGTCCCGGAGCCACCATAACTTCACGATACAGCGGGTGCTCCCGATTCGCCTCAGCAAGCTGCACATCAACAACTTGAAGCGCCTACTCATTGAGGTCCGGTGAGGAAGGAATGCGAAACAGCCACACACCAAAAAACAACAAACCCGAAGATACAGCACTGCTGCCACCATTGCTTTCTGGCCAGTGCACTTTATCAAAGCAACCCATATGATTCAGAATCACACACACACACACACACACCGTCTCATCGCAACAAGCAACCATGGGGATTTCCGATTTCTGAATGAGTCGATAGTCATGCATAAAATTGCCCGAAAATGCCCGATTAAAGCAAGCCCAAGCTAAGACCATCAATCTCATGCAAGACACGGGTGAGTGTCCAGCTGCATCAACTTTGGGTAGCAGTGGAGCTCCAGCTGCATCAACCCAAACCACAGTTCCAGCAGCATCAACCCGAGGTACCAGTGCAGTTCCAGCAGAATCAACCCAGGGTCCCGATGGAGTTCTAGCGGCATCAACCCTGGGTACCAGTGGAGTCCCAGCTGCATCAACCACAGGAACTAGTGGAGTGGAGCTTTCTGTGGAAGAGCATGCCGTCGAGGCAGACCACGGGGCAGCCTGCTCAGAAATTTACATCATTCGATACCCAGGCATTCTCAACATACTCACGGTACTGCCTCGGATACTTCGGAAACCACAGGCTTCTCCACATCCATGAAACCGTCATATTCGTCACAGTCACTCCCATCTGCCTCCTGACAGCACCATGAAGCCTGTTTGGCACTCGTGCCGTGTCTGCCACACACTCATCATTCGCTCCTGCTGCCTCTCTGACAATGTGGGCATCAGATTGAGAACATCTTTCCACATCTCGCGCTTCTGCGCCTGCAGGCTTTGTCAACCCCACACTAGCTTTACTCAGAGCGCAAGCGAAGACAAGGCTTAAGCCAGGTTGGCTCAAGGTAATGTCTGTATACCATGCTATGCATGTAATGTATGTAGTGTCTGTAATGCAAGCAATGTATTTAATGTAAGCAATGCATGTAATGTATGTAATGTATGTAATGTATGTAATGTATGTAATGTATGTAATGTATGTAATGTATGTAATGTATGTAATGTATGTAATGTATGTAATGTATGTAATGTATGTAATGTATGTAATGTATGTAATGTATCTAATGTATGTAAGGTATGTACTGTATGCACTGTATGTAATGTATGTAATGTATGTAATGTATGTAATGTATGTAATGTATGTAAATGTGGAACAACTACCATGAAGCCGCAAATCCACGGAAATCCAAGGCCTGCAGGTTGATGTGATCAGAAGGCGGTGCTTCATGTTCTGCCTGGACGACAGATACGAGAGATGAAGGCTTCTTCGGGGGAACTTATTGAGCCCAGCACATGCACAGGCTAGCGCACTGAAGACTGCAGAAAGACTGCAGAAGTCTCTAAGCTTCTGACTTTCGCGATTTCTAGCACTGATTTGACACCCGCCAGCGCTTGCTCCATGAGCGCCACAGCCACACCTCTCGTGTCAACCGTTACAGGTGCTCCTTTGCCATTTGCTGCCAAACATCTGCAAAACTATGCGGCCACAAGGGCTGAGGTTCAAAAGCACAATTTTAATGCTGGCCATGCCATCTGTGAAATTGAGCTTGTCTTGAGACAAGCCATCATGAATGCCGTGAGTTTGAGCTCGCATCAGGGCTTCACCTCCTTTTTACGTCCTCAATCAATTCCAGGGGGCCCAACATGAGCCAACTTGGCTTCGTGTGTTGTTTTGCACCTGCGGCCCCCCGAGTTCTCTTGAGGCCACGGTGTTCGCAGCCACGTCGCACCCGGTCGTGGATCTTCTTCGTTGTTGCTGAGGCCGTGGTTGGTGGGGCTTGCTCTGCCGGAACTTTTCACAATAAAGAACTGCTGGGGCTGCTAGGGCTAAACCTGCAGGCAACAAGAATGCCATACATGTTGAAAAGCTTTGCCACGCCTTCTTCTTCGAGCTGCTGGAATTCAGCATGCAGGCTTTGCAACATTTGTTTCATCTCCTCCCTTACCGACAGCGGGGGTGCAACCGATAAGTCAAAAAACACTCCAGACCACAAAAATGCAGCACGTGACCATGTGCTTCGATGTGCACGTGAACCTTGCCGGCTAAGCCTGAAAACAACCTGCAATCAAGCAACACTTCATCCACGCTGTCGCCCAGCGATGCAGCATCCAAGTGTTTCACGGCTTCTGTGACTTCGGCTAGCAGAACAGTTTTGCTTCTTGCTCGCTCCGTTCCGTCACGTGTACTTGAGCCCCACTTGACTGGTTCATCTTCCTCAGCTTCACGATCAGGGATTGTCGACATCGCCTGAGGCTGAACATGTACAAGTGAAGACTTCCAATGTCCAAGGACTGCTCTGGTCATGGTTCATTGTAATATCTTGTAATCGTGCTTGGCTCAACACACGAAAAACGCACAAAGTTCAGGCTGGGCCCCACCTCCAAGAGGACTTGCAGCTTCTGAACTTCAAACTGGCGCTCTTCCAAGGAGGTTTGCGATGTTTGCGAAGAAGCATTTTCCACGAGGGCACCCACGGCACGCCCTGAGCGAGACTGCAGTAACTTGAGTGAAGGTTTGCGGGTCAAATCCAGTTGCATACGCCGAAACCGGCCGGAAGCGATTCAGGTTCACAAACAAGACAGGAAAAGTCATGAGCTTCAACAGCACATTGTAGCACATGGTAGCATTCTTGCTGTCCAGCATCGTGCAAAGAGTGTTTCCCGAGAACAAGCCACGATGGCATGGCTAACTTGTCGCAACAATTCCCAGTTCCTCCGTGCCTACAAGCAACAAGTCGGGTAAAGATGCTATTGCACGTGCTGCACCTGGTAACAACATGCGAAAACGACATGCGCCTTCGATTCCACGAGTGATTCTGGGTCGTGTCTTCGATCATGGGCACCTGCCTCTACCAACGCAGTTGCCTCGCAATCAGGCAATCTGAACGAATTCACAGCGCAAGTTGATGTGAACCCGAAGCAAGCATGCCAAACCGTACGAACAGCAGCGGACATCACGAAGCAAAGTTTGTAAATGCAGCCAGACCCACGCCAGCGATTGTGGCCGAGACATTTTTGAGCTTCCTCCGGGCCTGCCCAATTGCTTGCAAATGCCAAGACGCAGTCCTTTGCTGGACAGACGCCGACACTGTCCATGTTGTTGAAATGTCTGGGCCTCGCTGAAGATACGACGCTTTGCGATATGGTCAGACATGCGTTGCCTTCATTGCACCGAAAATTTGTACAGGCCAACAGTCATGCTAGAACAACCCATGCGGGCAATCATTCACATGTGCTATGAGCTGTTTGTTGTTCAGCAACATGTGAAAATTTTGGGGAACTTGCTCATTCCGCATGTCCACACCCCTTGAACCAACGAGCTCGCAGCAACACATCACATTGATCGAATAAAGGCACCTCAACTCACCAGTTCCGTTCGACATGTCTAGAGCCTCTTCGCTAAACTTGAGTTCGGTTTTGAAAGCTACTTAAACTTTGTTCTGAAACCATGCGGTTTTCCTGCCATGCGCAGCTGACAAAGCAAGGGCATTAATTTGGGTGGGCAAAATGGGTGCCTGGCATGCGTTGCCTGCATGCGATGCAAGCTTTCCTGCGCAAACTTCTGAAACCATTCACCGCGGCCTGCAGGCGGCGCGAAAACTTGGCAAATGCAGACGCACAAAATCTAACAAGAACGTTCTCTGCCAACAGCAGAAGCACGCTATGCAAGCGCGAAGTTGCGAATTTTCTCATTAGCACCAGGAAATTCTAGCATGAGTATATTTTGTTTTTGATGTCAGAGTTGCTTCAAATCAGTCGAACAAGCCAAAGTGTGGCGTTTCATCAATCAAACAGATGTTGGACATCTGTCTTACCCCAATCGGCAACCTTTATGGGGAAACGTCGAGCTTTCTTTTTCTGCGCGCAGTCGTGCGGGACCATCTGGACCTCGCTTTTCTCCCTTTGTGAAGATTGGTTTACGGCCGATGGGATGACAGAATCACGGTAACAGTTGTAAGACAGATGGTAGCGGTTAGTCTCAGTGCATTGGAAGTAGCCAGAATAGTCGTAGGAAGCCATATGTGGGGGTTCTACACTTTTACTTAAGCTGCAAACACGAAGCACTCAGCAAGCCGCCTGAAAACAAACACGAGTAAACACGTGTATCGACTAGAAGTCGTCGTAGCTACTGCGGCAGTCGCAGTAGCAGTACAGTAGCAGTAGCAGTAGC